ATCCACTTGACTTTGAATCAAAAGCTTGGTATTGGGTTGGTATTGGGTTGATATTAGGGCAGAGGGGATACTTTGTCCTTAAATAGAACTGCACTCCTGGCCGGGCCTTTTGACTCCATTAGAATTTCAACTTTGGACTCCTTAGGGCAGTGGTTCTCAACCTTCCTAATGCCGCGACCCTTTAATACAGCGCCTCATGTTGTGGTGACCCCCCCCACCATAAAATTATTTTTGTTGCTACTTCATAACTGTAATTTTGCTACTGTTATGAATCGTAATGTAAATATCTGATATGCAGGATGTATTTTCATTATTACGAATTGAACATAATTAAAGCATAGTGATTAATCACAAAAACAATATGTAATTATATATTCAATATGTGTTTTCCGATGGTCTTAGGCGACCCCTGTGAAAGGGTCGTTGGATCCCCAGAGGGGTCGCGACCCACAGGTTGAGAACCGCTGCCTTAGGGGAATAGTGACAAAAGTCTCCTCTGAGTCTTGCCGGAGGTCTCAGTTTCACCATCTGTAAAATTGGATCGCAGGTCCCTGGCTGAGGCCCTTTGGGCTTGCTTTGTTTGTGTTCTGTGAAGGGGACCTTGGGGGGAGAAGGAAATCAGTAAAAAGGCCTGTTTGCCTCAAGCCTTTGTCTGTCTTGGTAGAAGCTGGTCTCTTTGTAAAATAGTGCCCCGCCCAGCTGCCTGATGGATTTTTGCAGGGCTGGGGTTTTCATTTTCTCCACGCAGGAGCAGACCAGAGAGTGGATGTCCCAACCCAGCGAGTCCCGCGTGGCCCTTGTTTGCTAAACGGCACTCTCCAGACTGTGCCAAAAGCAGTTCACGCTGGCGCACTCTCCTCCCCAGCCCAGGGCAGATGTTCCTATTTTGTTCCTGCCTCCCCTGCCCTCCTCTCACCCCAGCCCCTCATATTCCTTTAACGCCTGCTGATGACTACATGCCTGCTGCCCTTCATGCAGGACGGGCCCTTCTCTTCAGCCTCCAAATGAGAAGTGACATTTGCACTGGGCTCAGCCAACGCGGGAGCCGAGCGCGGGGACACAGGCCCATTGACCGAGCGCGGCCGAGCGGCCGACGGGCGCGGCGGCATCCGAAGCCGCCTTAATTAATACCATCTTAAACAGTCCAGCAGCCACTGCAGACAGAGTGGAAGAAAGACTTTCAGGCTGAGTGCCCCTCGACAAGCTCTTTTTCCCCGTGTCACTCAATATTTAATGCGCCCGCTTCTAATGCTACTACTGGTGTTCCTTTCTCAGCAAGGACATTATGTCTTCACGGTGCCCATAGCCAGGGAAAGCCCTTTAGGCAAAGAAAATCAAAATGTTTGTTGTTTTGGATGACTTATAACTCTTGTTGAACACAAGCACTTTCAGGAAAGTATAACAGGCGCAGCCTCCAAAGCAAACAACACAGTCCTTGTGACAGAGTGGGACACAAAAAGCACATTGTCTTGCGGACTACCCCTTTTCTCTGGTGCTAGATGGGGGCCTGTCTCCGAGCGAACACCACGATGCCATTTCACTTTTGAACTATTGTTTTTGAGTTATGCCATGTGGTCAAAGGGAGCGAGAAGGGGGTTGTTTCCAGGCGCCTAAGACAAACGAGTTGCCTTTTCATGGAAATCCCCCTGCGATCCTTGAAAACGGAGTTTAAATGTCACCTCCGCCTTTCTAATGGGCACAGGGCTGGAGGCGACCCTTCAAAGCGCCTGAGTGATAAACGACCCTTATTAAATATGGCCGGGGCTGCTGGGAAAGTCCTGCGCCGGGCCAGCGCGCAGGAGAGCGCCCCTAGCTGGAGGGCCCGGGCGTAGCCGGAGCCTCCTCTACAACCGGGCTATGCCCAGGCGGCCGGGGCGGGGGGCGGGGGGGGGGGGGGGGGGCGGCGGGGGGGGGGGGGGGCCAACCCAGACTAGGGGGTCGGGGTAGTAGGTGGTGGAGAGCCCGGGTTGGGGCGGGGGTGGGTGGGGAGAGTTGTAATACAACTTCTTATCTGCCGCCCTACACGCCCGTGCGCCCCCCATCCCCAGAGATTCGGCGTGAAAGGTTAGTGCGTTTCCCCCTGACTTCTTTTTGTCCGTTGCCGAGTGGCGTCTGCAAGTCTGAGCTGCAAAGTTACTGATTTGCAGGCTGCATGTTAAGGCAGCCCATGTAAGTAATTTCTGCGGGCACCCCGGCAAAGGAGAACAAATCGCTGACAAAGGCGAGCGCTTTCGATTCAGCGGCGTCGTTAAGGCAACCCCAAAGTATTCCTCCTATAATAAGTTCCACTTCAAAGGGTTTCTCATTCAGCGGTGACTGCTTCGCACTTTTATTAAGTCCGGGCTTTTTCACTCGGAGGAATCATCTGTTTGGTTATTTTTCATCGTGTTTATTTTTCGCCATTCACACAGTACTTGTATTAAATAAACAAAGAACAATCGCTTTCCAAATAAAAGTACTTAGGTGGGAAGAGAAGGAAGAGGAACTGGGGCTGGGGGCTCCCGCTCTCTCCTCCCCTTTTCCAACATCACCCACCCCCACCCTCACTCGGCTTTCTCTCCTCTGTCTGCTCATTCTTTCTCTTTTCTCTCCAGCTAGGGGGTCCTGGGGGAAGGGGAGGGGGATTCCTAGCAAAAAAGTAAAGGAAACACATAGATTATATGTCACACACATTATATTCTGGGTGTAATATTATATGTAAAATATGTATTTCTGATGAGGTGAAAATTGACGGTGCTAACTTGGCATGAAAGTAAAGGTCACAGCAACTGTATCTTAATAGAGTGTCTCCAATCGCTGTGGACCCTCTGCCAGCGACTGCCCTGGCCCTGTCCATTGCCATAGCAATCCTGATGCTCTGTGGATGTACCATAAAAGCAGTAGTTTGAATTTCAAAGAACATGCCTTTGAACTTCTCCCTGCCTGATTAGGCACTGGCTTCATGTGTGAATGCGTGTACTCCTGAGTGTCTGTGCGTGGGCGTGTGTGTAAGTTTCTGTGAGTTTTTGTTCCAGGAGGGGAAGTGTGCTGGAACCCCAGGGCTGCAGGTTTCACGGTGGGCCTCCTTAGTTAGCCAGCCCTCCAGCCCTGGAAGTGTGGGTTTCGGTGGCCATGTGTCTGTTTTAGTAGAGAAGGGATGGATGGGCAAGCCAGTAGCGTGATGCGACAGGCTGGGAGTATTCATAAGTGCCAGGATGGTGTTATTTCTCTTGTGTTGTTTTCCTTTCCTCTGACTTAAGGTGATCACTGAAGAAGCCAGACTGGCTCCCCTTCCCTCTTTCCCAAATTGTATTCCCTAGCCAAACTGGGATTTAAAAAAAAAAAAATACTTCAGGTGAACATCTCTTGTACCATTTTATAAAGAGATAATAGGTGGTAGGTCGTAGGTAAGTAGATAGAGAGATAAAACCACTATCTCAAAAAGCTTCCACAAAATGCAGGATATAAATGACAAGACTGCAAGTGTTACAAATATTTGACATCTACCATAGTTGGGCCTAGCTTTCAAGAAGTTTCAGCCTCCTCTTTTCCTATCCCTCCTGTGTAGCCATCTCCAACTCCTTAAAAGATTATAATTCCCACCCCCAGCTCTTTTTCAGTACTTTTGATGTAGTAGCATTCACTTTACCAAAGAACATCCCGAATGGGGGAAATATATACATAAACTACAAATAGTATGTGTTTGAAGATTCTTCTAGCCTGGAAAACAAAGGTAGATGATTTAAACAGTGTTTGCAGGGGCCACATTTTGCCGAGGAAAGATGAAGTCTTTGATGATAGCCAACTTAGTGTCAATAAGTGGCTTTCTGTGAGACATATTCAGATGGGAACGTCTTGCTTGCCAATTGCCATAGAAATCTTAACACACCATGAAGATTGTCCAAGCGCCAAGCCTTCCGTTCTGGACTAAATTACTTTGAAGTGGCGCAGGACGAGCAGTGGTCAATTTTAACTCTATAGACTGGACAGAGAACGCTGGGAGTGGGAGAGTGTGCGTTTTAAAGCAGAAAATAAGAAGGGGAAACTTGTTTTAGACACTCTATACAAGGTTCTGCTCATTGTCAGATCTTTTATCTTTTATATTTCCCATGAATGATTCATGTCTTGGTGGCTTTGTGTCACCCCTCTTTTCACAAGAAACTTCATTAGAGAGCTATAAGTTTTCCCATTGATTGGGGCCCTCATTTATGGGTTTTTCTCCCCCGTGCGCTGGTTATTGTTATCTGGCTTAAAACAACTCTTTGCAACCTGTTTCACCTTTACTACATTTAATAAACCTGACTTTTCAAAATCACTATAACCTCTTGGAGAACTGCTTATTGACATTATTACCAATTGTTTTTAATTATTTGCCTTTTATTGGTTTTGTATCAGCTAACATTAACAGGCTTTGCTCATGTAGCTCACCAATTGCATTAGTTTAAGCCACTTGGATATTTTGTTAACATAAATGTAATTTCTCCTTAATACCTGACTCAACATGCTGTAACTTATATCCCCTCAACTTCCAAATAAACCACAATATAATTGGATTCTGCTTCCCCCGCCCCCATGACCTGATGCCCACTACTCAACTTCTTTCAAGATCCATCTCAGCTCCTGATTTTGCTGTGTATCTGGAAGCCTCTGCCCCTCCCTCAACCTTTTCCTCATTCCTTTTGACATTTACTATAGAGGCTAGGCACCAAAAAAGAAAAAAGTTAAAATTCACCTTTTACTGATTAGGATCACTGAGGATATTAATTTTAACAAATGAATGCAATAACCCCTAAGATTTATGCTAGTGTTAGGTGCAACCTGCAGGGTTTAGTCTTCATGGATATATTGCATTTTCTAGATTGGATTGTAAATTAAACAAAGCTGTAAAAATATTTTATTGCTTGGGGAGAGGCTATGAAATAAAGAGGTCAAGGAAAGAGAACCTAATGTTCATTATGTCAGCAACCTGTTCTATTTGGAAGAGAATGGCATTATGTAAAACAAACAATACATAGGAAGAATACCTTTATTAAATTTTTACTCCATAATCATCCTTGCTTTCTATTGAAGGTACACATTTTAAGTTTTTCATTTTAGGTGTATCAGGAACCAATAAATCTGTGGCAGGGTTAACCTATGCATGGCAAAATACATAAAATACATATTCTTTTGTTTCATAATAAATAAACCTGTAGCATAATAAAGAATAGTGCAAACTACCATTGAAAAAGTTGTATAAATAAAACAACTCATTACAAATCAGAAATATTTTGTTCTAATAAGTTTACAATACATAAATTATCCCCCCAAAGTTCATACCTTTTTTGTCTATTTGAAAGAGATTTGAAAGTGAATAGGAAAATCAAATAAACTTTTAAATGTAGACTCATTTTATATCAAGTTTTATGATCTTTTTTCTTTATAAAGGAGGGTCTGCATGTTTAATATTCACCATAACAATTTGAAGACAACATTGAAAGGCTTTCAAAGTGACAGCACCATGCACTGTACTAGGAATATAATATATCTATAAACTATATATAATCTCAACACAATGCAAAAAAGACATGCAGGAAGAGTCCTGGTTTCACATTACGTTGTTCATTCAAGTAAGTTTAAAAATATATGTTTCCATTTTCTCTCCTTTTTCTTTTTTTAAATAAACCATGGATCATAAACAACAATCTTTCACCAAAATGTATAATATAATTCTTTGGTGTGCTTTGAACTCTTCCAGGAAAGAAAAAAGGATGTCTGAAAATAAATTAATTCAGCTGTACAAATAGTGTTCCCATACAGGTTATTAACAATAACACTACAACCACTCACAGTACACGAAACAAGTTTCTACAAACCCTGGGGAGGGGTGTCTTCAGGGTCTCCGAGGATAAATTAGTGCTCTTTAGTGTATTTGTATGATGTTTATGATGGACTACATTTTGCACACAAGATGTGTTGTACCAACCGAAAATAAATTGACTAAGAGTTATTGTCCTAGGTCCTTGACCTTTTTTATCCTAGCTTGACAGCTCTGGCAAAGGTCACACATTCATCAATGTTTGGTGGTAACTATAAACCTTTTAAAAATTTTAATATGTATAGCAACTCCCTCCCCTCTTTTAATGTAAATCATACACTTCACACACTGTCATTTTCAAATGGGACAGAGTTCCGTGTGCTCAGTGCTCAGGTGGAAGAAAATGCATTAAAATGCACTTTCGGGCATCGAAAAATAAAGGCTTTTTAAAAGGTTAATACAAGAGTATAAAAGGGGAGTTGGCCTATTTTAAAAACAACAGCTTTCAAAAAAATAGGCATGCCGCCAACTTCACACCTCCCTAGCCTTGCCTGTTAATTCTGGCATCCCAAAGAACTTAGCATCTAAAACATAATTTCCTTATTACACAAGTTTGAACATAGTAAAGAGGCAGCATCGGAGATTTCAGTTCTAAAAAATCAGGAAAAAGAAAGCACTTGAATTTCTTCTATTTTATAAAATAGCAGTTTCACAGTTGTCTTTTGCAGCGGCTTTTTCTCTTATCTCCACTTTTGCTTGAACAATCACAGTAGCACAATATATGGAAATGTAGTAAGGTTGCTGCATTTTTTTTTTTAATCATACAAGCAGGGTACTGAATATCCTGTGTAAAAATACAGTGTTTAGGTGGGATCAGTAATAAAAAGTGGAAATGGAAAATGACAATAGAACTTAAAAGGTTTTTACAAATATTTTTGGACACAGGTACAGTCTTAAGAGTCCCAAGATCTGTTGGCAATGCAGCAAGTGTGTGGTTTACAATCAAGAGGACTTTGCAGAATTAGGGCCCAAGGAGGAGGCTAAGAGGCTCCAAAGAAGCCCATGTTATGGTATCAAAGGCATTTGCAAGGCACTCTAGGAAATGCAGAGGGCCTTGTTGCTCTGTTGAGTTCTGACTTATTGTTCTCTCTCTCCATATATATATATATATATATATTATTAGCAGTGTGTATCTTGATCAACTACTCTCCATTCATTTTTCTTGGTACAATTTGCTCCCAGCCCTGTCCCCCTGCAATGTGTAAAGTCCAGCTTGGTTTTTTGTTTGTTTTCTAGGGAGGGGGGGGGAAGCCCAAATATCTTAATTAAATTAATTAAATGTACAAACACCATAGGGTTTCATACCAAATAAATAGGGCTAATTAGACCCGGTGGCAAGTCTGAGTCACAGATTTTCCCAGGCTCAGCATTGTCTCAGGTTAGGATATGGTCCAAGGACTCCCATTTACTATTTTATTTGCTATTATTTTTAATAAATTCTAATGTATCGTCCGCACAACTTCAGAGTTCCCATACATCTCCTCATCTTCAGACTCAGAAGTGGTTCCGTTGCTGGAAGGTGTGTGGAGGTGGCTGGGGGCCCCACTGGCCTGGCAAACGTACCACTCATTGAGGTTGGTCACCTGAGGGGAGAGAGTGGTAGAGCGACTCCTTGTTGGGTCCAGCACAGGGGACAAGGGGGCACCCAGTGGAGTCCCCACTGATGAGTAGCCAATGGCTCCTGGAGAAGGCGGTGGAGACTTGCAATGAATCTTCATGTGCTTCCTCAGGGAGCTCGGGTGAGTGTAAGATTTGTCACAGCCTCGAATCTTGCAGTAGTAGGGCTTGTCGCTGGTGTGGACATGGGAGTGTTTCTTTCTATCACTGCTGTTGGCAAACTTCCTGTCACAGCCATCAAATTCACATTTGAAAGGCTTTTCCCCTGCAACAAAACATACGAAAGGTTAACAATTGCTTGTCATAGATCTCCCAGGCTTAAGAGAGAAATCTTGGAGCAGAAATAAGGATGCGTTTTCCCATTCTCTAGAAGACCAACTCCCAGTCGAACACCTATGTTCCAGACGCAACAGGGAAGGAATACTTCAGGGAATGGGTGCTGACCACTGGTCTGGAGGCTCTCCTTGGACTGGACTTGTGAGATGCTAGATGTCAGCCCTGTGGCCCCATAAGGGCCAGGGAGAGAATGACTAGAACATGGTCCAAGATGTGACACCGAAACCCAACCAGGACCTGAATACCCACATCCTCATTCCCCTCAGGGTCTATACATGCAAAAATACAAGCAGCCTGTCAAGAGAAATGCTGATAAAATGATACTTTTAATACAAGAAAAATGAGTATATACACTAAATTTAAAGTGCCTGGGGGTGGTGTAATAAAATTATTATGGCATTTTGTTTCAGAGTGCTCCCCACGATTTCACTTATGGGAAAGGAGATAAAACAAAATCCTGTTCCCTTCAGAAATAAGGGCACCTGTGAAACACACTACCCGACCACTAGATGTTTTTACAAGCCTGGCACAGAAATGGCCATTGGCCTCTTCCTTCTACCAGCTTTCCTCACAACTTGCAGGGCAATTAAGTGCCTAGAGGAATAGAGCCTTAACAAATATTAATAAGGAACACGCGTCTCCGCCCCGTGTTTCCCTGCTGCCCTAAGTGAAATATTCCAACAGCTTTCTACATTGTTTGATAGTTTTTTAAAAATGGGCTATTTACCAGGCTTTTGGCCCATCACCCCTTGAAGCTGCTCTAACCTCCCAGGAACACAATACTTTTAAACACAAGGCCACTCATCATGGAAGTGGGAATGCTCAATAAGACAACAAGAAATTCAGCCACGTCACACCGTGGTATTAGAAAGCAAAAAAAAGACAGCAGGTAATAGTATGAATTTTCCTTCTCACCTTAGTATGTGTGAACTTGATGTATCTGAGTCCATAATTGAACAAATCACTTCATATATACTACCATATTAATATTTGCCTCATATTTAAAAAGTGAAGTTGGGTTTCTCCACATTTCAGCAGCTACTCTGATGATGCACAGGTATGTCCTTTCCTTGGTTTTGATCAATTTCTTTTTCTTCTTAAAAACAACTAAGACAGTTTAGTGTGTATAAGTTATTGTGGGGAATTTTATTATCTTAATACAAATATTTCAGTGTAGTGTTTATTGTTACTAATTTCACCAATACCAGTATATGTTAGCACCGCTGAAAGTATTCAGATGCCTGGAATATAACTAATCCTACTTGGAAATAATGTTTAAGAATAAAATTAGATAGTATTCAAATACACCTCCTACATTGACCCCCATAACAAGAGGAAAACAACATAACACAATGATAATCCCAACCTTTAAAAATTCTCTGTAGATGAGCTGCAACAAAAAAATTAATCCATTTTTTTTAAAAAATCAAAACATTGGTTATTTGCCCTGATTTCTGTATTCTACTCTAAGCTGGAGATAATAATATAGCATTATTTTAAAAAAAAAATTAATCAGCCTTTCTTCAATATGGAACTTTAGGTGAGTTTTATTCACTATATGCAAATGTGCAACGTCGTTTTTAGAATTCTCATGTTTCTGGACAAGCTACACCTTCCAGATCATGAAGGATAAATGGCTTGAACACTGCTGGCGCCAGCACTGCACCTGAAAGAGAAGCAGTTTGACCCAGTAGAGGGGAGATGTGGGGTGGAAAGGTGGAAGATCAAGGATGAAGAAATAGAGGAAACACGAAGGGGGGAAAAATGGTGACAGAATTGCCTATTTTATTCCGGGGAATTAAGGGGACAGTGAGCAGATTCTACCCAGCCAGGAAGGGGGAGACCACAGTGTTTACATTTCAGACTCTGACACAGGTCACGTCAGACCTCAACGACTTACAGAGCTTCAGAGTAATGGAAGCTGCGTGTGGGTGACTCTCGAATCCTGCCGGGTCCCTCTCCAGAGAGAACCCCAGTCTGGCCCAGTGGAAGGTTATAAATGCAACTGGGGGCACGTGGGTCAGGAAATGGGCCTTCAGGAGTGGTCAGGGGATTATTCCTTTTGATCAATATGCTCCAGGATCACGGGTAACCCCCAAAAGGGCGAGTGGCATAGCAGGGAGGGAGCCCCGATGGCCCCTCCCTGGACACAATGTTCAATGACTAGGCAGCCCCGAGACCGCCAACACCACCCCCGCACCCTACGCGCGCGCGTTTGAGTACGAATGTGTGGTGTGCGCATCCCTCCCCGGGGGACCCGGCGAGGCCTATGCAGCCCCTGGAGCCCGGCATCCATGCAACCACGCAACGTGGAACCAGAAAACAAAACGGCCACAGGGACCCGCACACGCCCCCTCCTGGGCAGGGGGGGGGGGGGGGGGGAGGTGGTCCGGAAGGGCCGGAGAGCAGGAACCGAGGCCAGCTGCCCAGCCATCAATTTCCAGGGGCCTCTGCTCCCCCGGCTTCTGGTCCCGCGAAGGGTAGCTCCACTCCCCCTCTGAGGCCTGGAAAGGAGAGAAGAGCCGAGGCCGCAGGCTCTCCTTTTAGGGGTTCCCTCTGGGGACCGCCCCCATCGGGACCCCAGGCCCCTACCCCGCCCGGGAGTGCTGCGCACAGGGGCAAGCAGCAGGCCGTAGTTTTTACGATGAGCCTCGTGGGACGTTTCCTTTTGGAGAAATCACTATGGCGGACGGGTCCGATTAGAAAGGAGGCCGGCAGGCCCAAGGGGGTCCGGTCCGTCCTCTGCGGACCCACGCGAGGCCTGCCAGGTGCTGGCCCGCAGAAGCGAGGCCCGGCTCCCCCCCCCCCCCCCCACGGACCCCGGGATGCCCTGGCCCCCGCCGCTGGCCCGGCGGTGAGGCCAACGCCCTGCGGCTGCCTCCGCGCCGCCGATAAATCAGCCGAGTAATTACGGAGAGTAAACTCCAGTTACTCAAGTGTCCTCCGAGGGGTGATATTGTCTGTCCCCATAAATCCCGACTGCGCCCGCACTCGTCAGCGCGCCCTCGCAACGCGCTGGTCTGTTCAAACGGAGCATGCGACCCGCAAGGCGCCCCCTCCCTCCATCACCCTCACCCTCACCCTCACCCAGGGCCTCGGCGCACCCAGTCAGGGCCTGGGGAGGGTTAGGAGGGGTCTCCACGGTGCCCGGGCTTCCCCTAAATTCTAAGGCAGCAGAGGCTTTGCAGCCGGCCTTGCACTCCTCCAACTAGACGCCGACTTGTCCAGTAGCCTCAAGGTTCTGTGTGATAATGTGTGTGGGAGCATGGGTGTGCATGGAGGTGTGTGTGAGCATGGGAGTGCATGGAGGTGTGTAAGCGAGAGTGTTCCCTAGAAGGTGAGTGTGTCCGGTCACAGGAGGGGGAGGGGGGCGCAGGAGGGCATACAGGTGTGTGAAGTCCTTTGTGTGCTGTGTGTGCACGTGAAGGTGTGTGTGTGGAGAGTGTAAAAGTGGGGCGAGTGTGTGTGTAGGGGGGGTCTCCAGGGGCCTCATTCCGTTAGCATTTTGCACTCCACCCCGCAAGGGAAGGACCACACCGAACTGGCCTGGTGGCCCCAATACCGCACCAAATACCACACGCCCCTTTCACACGCGGGGCCCGCCACCGGGTGGGGAGGAAAGAGCCTCCGGGGCGGCTCCGGCTCCAGCCCGCCCCCCCAGTCCCCCCGCTTTCCCCATTGCCCTCCCCGAGATCCCGGGGCCGGACGGGTGGGGGCCGCCGACTGTCCTGGGCGCCTTCCTGCTCCGGGCTGCTGCAGCTTCTGTCCGGGCGGCGGCGGCGGCTGGAGCGCGGTGCCCGTCCCGGCGGAGAGGCGGCAGGAGCGCTGGAAACTCCGCCATGTGGGAACCCAGCGCGGGGCCTGTGTGTGCTATCGAATTACTTATTCATAGAAAAAAGGGGGGAGAGAGAAAAAAAAGAAGTCACATGTCCGGGTTATACGTATGCGAAGAGAAGCAGCAGAAGGAGGGAAAAATGAAGGCGAGCAGAAGGAGGAGGAGGAAGAGGAGGAGGAGGAGGAGGAGGAAGAGAAGCGGCGGCGGAAGCGGCGGCGGTGCCAGAGGCGGCGGCGGCGGCGCGGCCGGGGACAGACACCCACCTGTATGAGTGCGCTTGTGGATCTTGAGGTTCTCGGAGCGCGCGAACACCTTGCCGCAGCCCGGAAAGGGGCAGGGGAAGGGCTTCTCGCCCGTGTGCACGCGGATGTGGTTGATGAGCTTGTATTTGGCCTTGAAGGGCTTGCCCTCGCGCGGACAGTCCTCCCAGAAGCAGACGTGGCTGCTCTGCTCGGGGCCGCCCACGTGCTCCACCGTGACGTGGTTCACCAGCTCGTGCATGGTGCCGAAAGTTTTGGAGCAGGGCTTGGCGCCGCCGGCCGGGGGCGGTGGCGGCGGCGGCGGCGGCCGGGCCAGCTCCTCCGGGTCGATCCACTTGCAGATGAGCTCCTGCTTGATTGGCTGCCGCATGTAGCGCAGGAAAGCCCCGGCCGCCCCTGGAAGGTGGGGGTGGTGCGGGTGCGGGTGCGGCGCGGGCGCGGACGGTGGCGGCGGCGGGGGCGGCGCGTGGTGCTGCAGGTGGGGTCCCGGCCCGGCTGCCGCGGCGGCAGCCGCTGCCGCCGCCAAATTCAGGTTTAAGTTCACGGCTCCGTAGCCGTGCAGGGCGGCGGCTGCAGCGGCCGCCACGGCCCCGTAGTGCGCATCGCCGGAGCGAGGCGCGAAGGGCGGCTCGGCGCGGCCGTACAGCTCCGCCGCCGCCGCCGCCGCGGCTGCTGCCAAGCCCAGGCGCATCTGGCCGTTGAGCGGGTGCGGGTGGCCGCTGGGAGCTCCCGGCATGTCGTGCAGAGCGGGGAAGAGCGCCGGACCCCCGCCGCCGCCGCCGCCGTCCGGGCCCGCGTAGGTGCCGCTGGCAGAGATGAACATGCCGGCCGAGTGGGGAGGCGGGGCCGGGTGCTGGGGGGAGCCGGTGCCGGACCGCTGCTCCCCTCCGAGCGGGGCCCCGTGCATGGCCGCCGCGGGGGCCGTGGCGGAAAGGTCCCTCCGGAGGACGAAGTCCCTGCTGCGGCCTTTGCCGCTGCTGCCGCCGCCGCCACTGTTGGTGGTGGTGTAGCCCGAGAGGGCAGGAGGAGGAGGGGGAGGGGAAGGGGGTGAAGGGGAGGGAGGAAGAGGAGGGGCCGGGGGCGGTGGCGCGGAGGGCAGCACGCTGCTGCTGCCCCCACCGCCGGGATAGGTGCCGGCTCCGGGCTGTGCCACCGAGGCCGCAGCGCGGGCGGCGGCCGCGGGAGCCTCAGGCTGTGCCGGGAGTGCCTGGGAGGGAGGACTGAGGCGGAGGGCGCTCGCCTGGGCCATGTGCTCGGGTCCGAGCGGAGTGATGGCCACGCCGAGGTCAGCGCCCAGGTCCCGAGGGCGGAGGTGCGTGGCTATGGCGCGAAGTTGGGAGTGGGCGGGCGGGCTGGCCAGCGCTGGGAAGCCTGTCATATTCTGAAGAGGCCTGGCCTGAGCCGTTGCCAAGTCCGCTAATCTCAACGCTGGCGGGTTCCTCTTGCTCAAAGGGGGCTCCATCAGAACCACACAATCAAACCCATAGACCCTCACGGGGGTGACTTTTTCCCCCCTCTGCCCTCCTCCAAAAACATGTATATATGAGGGGCTCTTTAACTTCTTTGTCCTGGTCTCCTAACTCTGCTCATTCCCGTCCCCACTCTGTCCTCCAGCGATTGGCAGCGTGCACACCACATTTGAGCTGCACAGTGGGACCAAGATTTTGGAAATGGCACGGGTGGGATTGGAGCGAGCCGCGTGATTGGCAGCAGCCGCGGCTGCCCGATTGGCTCCCTTTCAGACCCTCGGCCCAGCGGGAAGCCGCCCCGCTGCTCGCGGCCGCCTTAGCTCTCGCTTCGCGCCCCTCCTCCCCTGGAGCCCTGCACCCCCCACCTCCCCGGGGATGTCCAAGTTGCACTCGCAGAAAGTTTGCGCTGGGCCTGCGCGCGCAACGCTCGGCGTTTCCCAGACGCTCCTGGCGGAGAGCGTGCGCCGGCACGCGGCCGAAGGGCGAGTGGTGGCTGAGGGCTGGGGACCCCCATGGGGGGACAAAAGGCGGAAGAGGGGGCAACTTCAACCCCCCCGCCTCACTGCACGCAGAGCCCCTTCCCACATCCACACACTAGGCTACGCCGAAGAAAGGGTGATTAGATGTTCGCCCGTCATCGTACTTGTGGTGATGATGCTAGAACCTTGTTTGGGAAGGACACCAATCTGCCAGACGCTCACGTAGGGCTCACAGGAGACGGAATTGAGGAAGGGTATTAAAATCCTATTGGTTGTAAAACAATCTGAGCAGTTTGGCTCCGCCAAACACCAAGTGAAGTCAAAATACATCTTTCCCAAAAGGAAACGTTTTACCTCGACTTTTTAGCTCATGGAGTCCTTTTCAATATGCTTCAAAGGAGTTGGCTCGAAATGTAATCTCACTGCTCATCGGTTCTGGATCTGCCACTTCCAATTAGATCTGGGGGGCGGAGGAGGCGGGACTTTGGGCAGCGATTCTAACTTTTGCCTCTGGGAGATACAGTGGCAGACCAGGCCAAACAGCATCTCTCCAAAAGGAAGCAACCAAGTACATAATATCCTTTAAGCAGAATCTCTCCTTCCAGCCCAGAATGTACTCCACCTGTGTGCCTCAGTTTCTTTGAAAGGACCATGAATTAGAATTGATCCAAGAAAATATTTTTTAAGTCAAGCAATGTCTTCGTTATATATTTACTAATTGAATTGACTTTTACCTTACTATCAATTGTCTAATAAGCTGAACTAACAAGAGAGATGTTTTATTTAAAAACCATAAACACTGGCTTTTTAAAAAAGTGAAACCCATGTAGTTCAAATGATTTGCCATCAAAGTAGTTTAAAGGGGTTTCTGCACCACTTTTTGGAGGGGGGAGGAGAATTGTTGCATCCCCCAAACTTTAGGGTTCTTACTGCCCAGTGTGTCACTCAGCTTTTAAAAATAAAGCTATTAAAATTGTGTGATGTTCCAAGATGCTCAAAATTTAAAGTCAGAGGTTTTAATTTTCATTTTGTTGCCCTGCATAAAATTATTTGAAAAAAATTGACAAATGATTTTTCCTTTTGGGATACAATGAAACGTTATTAGTGTAATTCATTTTCAGTCCACACAAAAATAGATGGCACAAAGCCATCCTCTGGGAGATGGACCTGGAAAGAGGTAAGACATATTTTCAAAAGCCCTGATTCCATAGCCCCATTTACATTGATGTGAACAATGTTTAACAGGAAACTTCCCTGTGAGCCCAGGAAATGTCATTTCTCTTATAAAACTTACAGCCAAACAAATAAAATACAATCAAATTTCAAATGTTTTGCTTTTCTTTAATTTTCGGTGAAATTCAAATATGGGGGAATAAAAAAGGCATGAGTGCAAACACAACAAAAATTTTTAAAAAATAAACAACAGTGACAAAATCCACATCCGTACCTGGAGAGGACAAGATCTTTTACAATTTCGTTTTAAAGACTCAAAACCATCTCAAGCCAGCCAGGCAAAGGTGGAGCAAGGACTGTGCCATCTCTATGGATGGTTTATAGGGAAAGCAGCATATTTGGGGTTGTCGCCACTGTCTTCATTACCTCTCAGAACATTTCAAGTGAGTTCCCTTTATTTGAATTCCTTGGCAGTGAGCGTCAATACTTCCATAATGGCAGCTTTACGTTCAATTCTGCAGGTTATAAGTAAAAACAAAACAAAAAGAATGAATAAAGAAGAAAATAACCACAACATAACCTTTAATATGGACTGTTGAGCATTTTTATGGTGCAATAAAACGAGTACCTCCACCCCCATTCAAAATAGCTTTTCCTCAAAATTATAACTGCTTTGTTTTATTGAATTGCTGAAATTTAATGGTTTAATGAGTGAAGGCATGAAGGAAAGGCTGTAAAAATGTGAATAATGGTGCAGCAGAGCCCTGCGGAATCTGGAACCCGCCTCCTTGTACAACTCTTGTTAAACACAGCATGATGTGTATCTGTCATCGATTTAATATGTCTTAATTCAAATATAGTCCCCTGATCAATTTCTTTTTATGGAAGCCTTAAAAAAGGAAAGACTTTCTTAGGAAATAATCGAGGTTTGGGTGGCGATTGGAAAGAGGGATATTTACACAGTGCGTTTAATGAATATTTGCAAATTTATGACTCAACCCAGACCCTAAAAAGATAATTGACTCAGGTAAATCGACTTGAAATGCTAATTCTTAAAAGGAAGAACTGGGAACAAAATTCAGTCAACACCAATAAGGCGCCAATAAACTGCCTGCCAATTAAACCTGAGAATAGGCCTAGCTAGACGGTTCTCAGGAAGGCTCCCAGTGAATTTCCGGGATTGCCTTTCTTTATAAAAGAGCTTTTTATTTTGTAGACGCGCTTTTTGTTATTATGATGACCCGCCTAACCCCAGGTGCGCTGTTTCTTTTTAAAGCCTTTTGGGAGCCAAATCCACCCCCTTTAACATCCCAGTAACTGTGTCGTACTTCCTAAATAAACCATTTCCAGGGCGTTGGAGAAAATAATACTAGTTGAAAGGGTTGGGGGTGGTATAGAAGTCTTTATGCCAGTTCTGTGGGTTTAGCCCCATATTTCCTCAGTGGTGCCGGCAGTCAGGGCCCATCCTCAAAACTCATGCCCTGGTCTGCGCTTTTGCAGCGGACGGAGGTGCTTGGGTGGGAGCAGCTACGTGGAAAGACATGGAAATGCCCTTTCTGGGGTCAACAGGTCCTCCTGGCGAGTGCTGATTTCCAGACTTCACTGTTGCACCCCGAACCCCACCCTCCTCCCAGCCCCAAACAAAGGCGCGAGGAGGCTGCGAGGTAAAAGTAAAACACCGAGCTGGCCCGGAACCACCCTGCGCTCAGCGGCCTGGAGGCGGCGGGACCGGGTCTCCGGCGGTGCCCAGGCGGGCGCTGAGGCTCCCCGCTGCGCGGAGTGGGTCTGCGGCTCCCGTGCCCTCCGTTCGTCGCTGAACGCAGAGTGTATTAATTGTGTGGGCAATGAATAAACTCGAAGGGAAGTGGATTGGACATTTCCTGGCTTTGGAGCCTTTGTGTGATGGTTTGTGCAGGCGGGCGAGGGGGTACGCCAGGGACGGTGAGGGAGACCCGGAAGGAGCAGCGGGACCCACCTTGCTGCCTTTTATTGCCCTTGCAATTGCTTTACTGCTCGCCAGTCCGCAGTGGTTTTCGCGAGAGCTGCCTCCTTGCAGAAGGGCTGGGTGCCTGGCGAAATTGGAGCGCCTACCCTAGTGCCATTTGGGTTGCGCCAGAGGCGGGTTCAAGGGCGAACACGGTATCCCGAGTTACCCCAGGGATTAAGGAAAGGACTTGGAGGCGCAGCCCAAAGGCGGCCGTGGGTGCTCCGCTGGGAGGAGAGTTACTAGCAGACACTGAGAACACGGGAGATACACTCGAGAACTCTTTAAGCCGAGGTGAGATGGGCAAAGGCACCCACGAAGCTGCATCTTATTGAGCTGTATCAGGGCCGGAAGTGACAAAGACTTTGGGTTCAAGGGCTTTTTCCAAACGAGGCTCGCTAGGCATTTAGGCAGTGAGTTTCCCGCTGCCCGCCCCACCTGCACTCGGCAGGGACCAGATCCCTACCCTCCCACCCGCCCTCACACGAGCGTTCTGAGCCGGGGGCACCGAGACCCGCCCCAGGGGCCTGAGTGCTCTGAGCTCCGCAGCCCTCGGAGCTCCTCTACGAGTGTTGCCTCTCTTTTCCTCCCCTTTGAGCTCGCGCCGAGTCCTCCGGCTTCACGGATACTGTGGAGCTAAGAATAACCAAAATGTGCTTTTTGCTAGTTTATGATCCCTGTCACTTTTACATGGGCTTAACGAGGATTTTTTTTTTTTTTTAAGCAGAAGATTGGAACTGTACAGCTGTGATTGGGATTTGTCTGTTCTTTTGGGTAGTCAAGAATTGGACACACCCCATGTCCACCTGACTTTAGTGGTTAAAAACCCTTGAAAATGTTGGCTCTCTATACTTCCCCACGATTAAAACAAAAATAAACAGAGTAAAATTGGCCTGTCGTCAAATATTCTCATTTGGTTATCAATCACTTTTACCCTCAAAGATGGAAGTAGTTGGAGATTGGCCTTTGACCCACATTTCACCCATTAGAATTGGTAAATTCTTGGGAAATGCCTAATTGTTGTGTTTTAAAATATGCTTATAAGGTCAAAACAGGAACCACAAAACTCCCTTATGTGTTCACAGTTCATATAACTACCCAGTATTATTATTTGTATTGGCTTCAAGATGTGTTCTTCTCCCCCTTCGTTCTTTATCCTGAAGGATGTTTTTGGATGGGGGACAAAGGAGGAGCAGAGGTGGTGTGGTATGTATTTTTAAGTCTCAAATTTTGTGGGGAGCCTCCACACACACATTGCACACCGCTTCCAATATCTGTACTTCAATATTTGAAGAAGCTGTTGAGAAAAATCAAATAGTGACACGTTGACGGATTTACTTGTGTAAGCAATATGGTTGACATATGGCATCGTTATTTATGAATGACAGCATAAATTGTATTACAAAGTCTATTGCAATAATACTGCAGTTTATTGGAAAGCTGCTTGCCTGTCACCAGTATTCAACCTCCCTGGATGTAGTACGCCTGGGAGCCCAAAGGATAGTGGTCCTCAAAATAATTAAACACATTCGTGTAAGCTAATGCCTCCTGTTTTTAGGTTTGTTTTTGTTT